TATTATTATTATTATTATTATTATTATTATTATTATTATTATTATTACTATTATTATTATTATTATTATTATTATTATTATTATTAGTTACATTGCAAGTACTAGTGAAGAAGAAGAAGGAAAAAAGGAAATGAAGAAAGACCCGAATTTAAAAGAGGGAACAACAATAATAAAGAGGAGGCCACCGCGTTACTCCTCGCTTCACCACTGCCAATTTCTCCTTCCACAAGGTTATCTGTACCCAGTGGCTATGTGTGTGTGTGTGTGTGTGTGTGTGCTACCGAAAAGTGGATTTATCCTAAAATCTCAACAGAGGTCGTCCTCCACGGTCCACCTGCTGTTCGAGAATTCGGCTTCCTGAGTGGCCATGGGGGGTAACCCTGGGAGGATTTAGGGGGCAAAAAGTGGATTTTCCCCAAAATCTCAGCTAAGTAGATATAATTACAGGTTAGGTTAGGTAAGGTTAGGTTTTGTATGAAACATTTTATTCACATGTAATTTTATGACCTACATGGTCGTTTATGGCCAGTTAAAAGTTTCCAAAAGAGATAAATACATAGACGTTCTGGCTAATCGGCATTTATAAATTTATAAATATGCAAAAGACTTGGGAACAACAGATGTTTTTCAGAATCTTAAAATAAAACAATATTAGATACACTTTTCACTTGGTCAGACAGACAAAGCTAAACATCCACACCACAAAGTTTTCCTAGTGTGTTCTGATTGGTTGAAGGTAGCAGATGTCTTTTCATTGGTCAGAACGGAAAGAGCGCTCCTCCTGCTTGGCTTTGTGAGACTACGCACCCTGGAGCTGGACAATTTGGAGTACAGTAACTCAGGCACCATCCTGTCATAGTGATACTGGACGTGCTCCTTGTATCAAGCGCTTCTTGTATTGCTCAATATTATCATGAGGTTTTTGTTTTCGTAATTTGTTATGGCGCCTCTATTGTTGACAGCTGTATCGTGGTTATTGCTTCTTTGTCTTGCCTGGGTACCTCTGTGACCATGTAACAGGAGAAAACTCTTTATATATTGAACTTTATTATCAGGGTCTCTCGGCGGCTCCACCCTGCCTTGACCCGATACTAAGTTCGGGATCAAGAGCGTTTCAAAGATTTACTTCTCGATGGATTTGTTTTTTCTTATCGGAAATTTCGTGTTTGTGCACAAAATATGACCGTAGAAGAGGAAAAAGTCAGGGTGTAGTATCGCTTAACCCATTGTGTAGTGTAGGCTTCTTTTGTATTCTTGTCAACAAACATCATTGAGAAAATGTTGTTCCTCTCACCAAGTTCTGGCAGTTTTAGTGATAGTCATACAAACTATCTTTTCAAGCATGCAAGCAAAACTAACCAACCGCATGTACCCTAACGTTACTTAACCAAACCTAACTTAACCTAACCTAACTTAACCTAATCTAACATTACCTCACCTCAGAGGGACGGAGGGAGAGAGAGAGAGAGGGAGAGGAAGCACGTATCGGTAGAGCTGAAGCAGGATGTGGTGCCTTGAGGAGGGGGAGGGAGCGGAGTAATTCAGTACAGGTCAGACAGGGTCGTCATGACTGAGGCTCCTAGCAACACATGCAAGCAAGGAATGAAGGTGAGAGGGAAGGAGGGAAAGGGGGGGATGGTGGTAGAGGCAGCTAGGTGGGAAAAGGGGAGGTGTAGAGAGGGCAGAAAGGAAGGGAAAGGGGGACGGGGAAAGAGGCTGACAGAGAGAGAGAGAGAGAGAGAGAGCAGAAAATGAGGGAAGGGGGGGAGGAAAGAAACACAGACAAGGAAGGAAGGAAGGAAGGAAGGAAAGGAGGAAATAAAGAGTGGAAGACAGGGAGGGGGATCGATGAGGGAAGTAGGACAGCAAGAAGGATCAGATTAAAGAAGCGAGGAAGATGAGGTAAGGTTCTATTTTTGGTCTTTGCTACAGGTGTGCCTTAAGGGTGGTGAGTGTAAAGTCATATTAACGACTTGAAGCTTCGTTAATTTCACCGATTCGTTACTCTCTTGCCTTATGTATCTAGTAAGGCTAAACAAAAGAGCATCGAGTGTAGTCAAGAAGGAATTATTAAGCAAAACTTGGAAAAAAAATGAATTAACATTACAAACAAACAGCTGAAGAAAAAAGAAAAGGAAAATTGTGCCTCAAAGAGAGTACTGTACAAGTAATACTGTAAGATGATGATGATTACAACATGCCTTATCAAGCTTTACCGCTAGGCTTCAACTTCTTTTCTCCTATTTTTTCTCTTTCCTGCTTACCTTAACATCGATTGTTTCAGCAACAGCTTTTCTCTTTCTGGCGCAGTTCTTTATGTGTGAGTGTATGTAAGTAAGTACAAGTCCTTTCATTAATTTACAACTTGTTTTTTTTCATATTATTTTACGAGTGCGTTATATTTGTGCGAATTTAACCAAAGGATTTATTCATATGGTAGGCATTGTTGACATTCTTGCTGTTTATCCCAAATTTGCTAGCCCACACTGATTAGTCTTCAATTAGAATATGACTCCAATGTATGTGATCCACTGACCTATATATACTGCTAATGAATATGATGTATTTCCTTCTTTGTGTACGAACCTCTGTCCTGCATGGCAGTGAACAGTGGCATTACCCACATGAACCTGACCTCTATACATTTATAGCTGTTAATGAATATGATGTATTTCTTTGTGTATGAACCTCTGTCCTGCGTGGCAGTGAACAGTGACATTACCCATATGAATCTGACCTCTATGCATTTATAGCTGTTAATGTCCTGCGTGGCAGTGAGAAATTATACCACCCTCACTGTCAAGACCTGACTGAATCACTCAGAATAGGCAAACTATACTACAAGCTTTGTCAATAAATTTGTTAAACTAAAAAAAAGGTATTGCCTCACACCAAATGACGTAACAACGGTGTAGTCAAGTTTGGCTTTCTGTCCCTCATTATCTCTAAGATGTGTGTTTGTAATGTTTGTTATTCAAAGACGAGATTTATCATAATAAACTACAGGGTGTTCTACAAATTATCTCGTTATTTGTATTTTGAGGTTTGTTTTATATCTACTATAAATCTGATAACATTTAAGCCTAACTTCACTGTAGTAATATGAATTTCCAATCAATACATTAACATACCTGTATTAGTTGTGTATCTGTACTCGTTCAGTATAAATAATCGTAATCATATTTTAACTTATAAATAAGAAAACAATTTTACTTGAAGCTGACAAATAGAGTGAGCGTTAAGGAGTGGAAAGAACACCAAGAAAGTAGGATAATGTAAGGACTTAGGTGGGAATCTTGATGGTGAAAACCCGACCTGGGACTCGCAGCTTCATCAGAAGTCCTGTTGACGACAAAAACTGGTCGCTGGGGTACGCCCATAATCTCACCGGGCCGCTTCTTGCCCGTGTTGCAACCCTTGTTATCGTGGTTAGTGTCTCGCGTGTCTTGAAGTCCACTTATGTTCTATGAGGAGAAAAAATAATAATTTTGCTCAAAATATCAATATGCAGTCCTGCAAGTGATCCTCGGCGTGCTGTTAAGGATCTACATAAGAACATAAGAACAAGAAAATAAAGAGTCTGCAATAGGCCGGTTGGCCTGTGTATGGCAGCTCCTGTAGAGAGTTACTGCTACTCTCTATCATCCATGAATCTATCCAGCCTCCCTTGAAACTTTCCAGCGTTCCAGCACTTACTACAAAGTTGCTAAGCTTGTTCCACTCGTCCACCACCCTATTTGTAAACCAGTTCCTTCCTATCTCCCTCCTAAACCTAAACTTATCCAACTTGAATCCGTTGTTCCGAGTCCTATCCTGCTCGGATATTATAAGAACTTTATCTATATCCACTTTATTGATTCCTTTCACCCACTTGAATACTTCTATCATATCTCCCCGCACTCTTCGTCTTTCTAGGGAATGCAAGTTTAATTTCTTTAACCCATCCTGATATGGAAGGTTTCTAAATCCCGGAATCATTTTTGTCATTCTTCGCTGCACCGACTCTAGTGAATTGATATCCATTCTATAATAGGGGCACCAGAACTGAACCGCATAATTGAGGTGCGGCCTGACTAGCGCAAAATAAAGTTGCAATAAGACCTCTGCACTCTTATTACTTACATTTCTAGACATAAAACCCAATACTCTGTTTGCCTAATTTCGAACATTAACGCACTGTTTTCTAGGCCGTAGGTCCGGGCTTACAAGTACCCCTAGGTCTCTTTCACAAGTCGACTTCTCTAGGTTGATGTTGTTAAGGCTGTATACATTGACAGTATTTGTTCTTCAATATTAAGTACGCTGCACTTGCTGGTGTTGAACTTCATTTGCCATTTTTCAGACTACCCCTGCAGTTTATTTAGATGTCCCAGGTCGTACTTATTTGATCACCCACAAAATTATGTTGACCCAGGAGGAAGTGGTACGAACAAGACCTAAAAAAAATGCTTTAAGTGAGGTGAAGAAACTGCGCCAATTAGTTAACACTGAACCCTCTGATTCTCCTTTAATATCCATAGGCAAACCAATGAATCATGTATAGTACATTCGCTGCTTAAAATAGTCGTTGGAAGTAGTCACTGCTAGGAGAGTCAGTCGTTGGAAGTAGTCACTGCTAGGAGAGTCAGTCGTTGGAAGTAGTCACTGCTAGGAGAGTCAGTCGTTGGAAGTAGTCACTGCTAGGAGAGTCAGTCGTTGGAAGTAGTCACTGCTAGGAGAGTCAGTCGTTGGAAGTAGTCACTGCTAGGAGAGTCAGTCGTTGGTGTTGTTTACTGACTCACCAAAGATTACTCAATATAAATAATGTTAAAAAATACCACAACTGAGAATACTGAGCAACTTATTATTTTTCCTTCAGAGTAAATACAATAACCACACAAATTTATTATAGTATATAAAATAATATTATGTACATTTATATTAAGTAGGTATAATATCTATCTGTAATCTATTAATCTATGTAATGTATTTATAATAGGCTCGTTCGGGTATTTGTTCTAACATTGTTCTCGCCTGTTGGTCCCGGGTGGTGTTCTTCCTCGGCCATTATTATAACTAATTATTTACGGGAATTTGGATATTCCTAGAGAAGATGTCGTTCTTCTGTCTGATGCAGGAGCTATATAAATACTTCGTGAAAGGTTAATTGATATTTTTTTAGTTATTAGTGAAGTTCTGAGAGGTGTTGTTTGCATGTAATGTATCTCTCAGTGGGGAGATGTAACACTTGTTCTTGTCATCGTCTTTATTTAACCTTTAGAGGGTGAGTTAATTTATTAAGAGGAGTGAGACGTGTGTGGCTTAAGTACATCACAAGAAAACACTAGTTATGTAAGGGTGGGGTAGGACAGTACTGTACTCGGGAAGGCTGACTCAATAGGTCTTCAGGTGTTGTTCAGTTTCTTTAATTTTTACCACAGATTATATTATTATTATAGTGTTTTAAAAGAGGTAACATTTACTAGAACCTGACCTAACCAATCAAAGAGACCTACCTAAGCCTCCCAGTCATCCCTAGCGGGTTGCATGTTGGCACCATTCAGAAATTGTGTTTTGAAGGTTTTAGATCTTTATGGCAGGTATGGAAAACTGTATCAAGGTGTCAAAATGTTCTTTGGGTGAGTTAATTTTTACTGGTAGGTCTATTTATGACAAAAATTTTTAAATTTTAACTTTTTAAATCTAAAATTATTTAAATAAGACTCGAATGAAGGAAGCAGACTTGATAACCAATCCAATCCTGAACACATGATACATTGGCTATTAGAAAACATTACAGGGTATCTTTGTCTTCTATTGGATGACAGCCTGATGGTCTCTTGTCAGATACAGATGACGTTATAACTGTACATTGTTCTCCTTGTAAGTTAGTAAAATGGAAGGGAAAGAATCCGACCATTTTGTGTGTAATAATTTTTTTGCAATGCAATACACAACCTTGACCAGATGACTGTCAATTTTATTTTATCAGGTACAGAAACACTGCTGAATTACCTGTTGCTTTTTTAAGTTCCATAAAAAAATGTAAGAAAATTAGATTAAACTTGTGTTTTGTGGAGGCTACAAATAGATACAGTTGACACCATATCAGAGAAGATAAAGTGATGAGCAAGGTAAAGCCCATTCTGGTTACCTCTAGAAGATTTATAATTCAGGGACTATTGCCATATTAAACTTATTAACATGGGTAACCAAATGGCTAAGGTAAACTGATGCTCACTGCAAAAAATTAAATATTAATTTTTCACTTTTCTTTCAGAGTAAAACTACTGATGAGTTAGCTGCAAGTCTTAGTCTGCTTTCAAGCCTAGTTGTACAAGTGTAGTTGAAGTTTTCTGCTTTACCATACTTGTCAACCAGTAAACACCATGGATACCTCATGGGGTAGTTTGCCAGTTAAGCTTCTGACTCCTGTCAGACAAACGATCAAGGACTTTGGTTTTCAGAACATGACCCCTGTCCAAGCAGCTTGCATCCCATTACTCCTTAGTCATAAGGATGTGGCAGCTGAAGCAGTAACTGGGAGCGGAAAAACACTAGCATTCCTGGTCCCCGTTATCCAGATTTTAAGGCAGCGTGAAGAACCTTTAAAGAAGCACGACGTTGGCGCCCTCATTGTGTCCCCAACTCGTGAGTTGGCCACACAAATTCACGAAGTACTGCAAGGTTTCTTAAAACACTCACCACAACTGACTTCCATGCTCACAGTTGGAGGATCGTTTGCTGGTGATGACGTTCAGTTTTACAAAACTAATGGTGCCCACATTGTTGTAGCCACACCTGGTCGACTTGAGGACTTACTGGCTCGAAACACAGTTGAAGGTCCAAGTCTTGCTGCTGGTGTAAAAGCTGTAGATGTATTAATCCTTGACGAAGCTGATAGATTATTAGATCTGGGCTTTTTTAGCACTCTGAATACCATCTTAGCTTATCTTCCCAAACAAAGAAGAACTGGTTTGTTCTCTGCCACACAAACCACTGATGTGATCAGTCTCATTCGTGCTGGTCTGAGGAATCCAATTCAGGTGAAAGTGAAAGAAAAGGAGGCAACAGGTGATGAAAGAACACCCCTGTCTTTACAAAATTATTACATGGTGTGCGAAGAGGAAAAAAAATTTGCAACTCTGGTCAGTCTTCTGAAAGCGAAAGAATCAGAGAAGACGATGACTTTTTTCCCAACATGTGCTTGTGTGGAGTACTTCACTGTTGTGTTGAGAGAAGTATTGAAAAATACACAAATTTTGTCCTTACATGGTAAAATGAAAGACAGAAGATTTAAAGTATTCGATCAGTTTCGGTCACTTGAATCTGGGGTTCTTTTATGCACAGATGTGATGTGTCGTGGGGTTGACATCCCTAGTGTTGATTGGGTGATTCAGTATGACCCGCCCTCTACAGCATCTGCCTTTGTTCACCGTTGTGGTCGAACTGCAAGAGGTGGGAACGAGGGATCGGCAGTTGTCATGTTGCTTCCGTGTGAAACTGATTATGTCGAATTCATCCATCTGAACCAGAAGGTTACCTTGCATGCTATGGAGGCTCCGGCAGATGTGCCAGACTTGTTGAAGAAGATGAGAAAACTGCAGCTCCAGGACCGATTGGTAATGGATAAAGCCAACCGAGCATTCGTTTCATTTATTCAGTCATATGCAAAACACGAGTGTAATGTTATTCTTAACATCAAAAGTCTTAATCTTGGTCGTGTTGCCTCAAGTTTTGGCTTATTGCGGATGCCCAGAATGCCTGAACTGAAGGGTGTGACCATTACTGATTTTCAACAGGTAAAAATGGATTACAATGCAATTGCCTATAAAGATAAACAGAAGGAAAAAAGCAGGCAGCAAAAACTCAGTACATACAGAGAGACTGGTCAGTGGCCCGGCATGAAGCCATTCACACCAAAGACTGTGTCTTGGTCAGATAAGAAGGACAAGAAAGCAAAGAAGAAGAAAAAGATTGAGAAGAAAATGAAGAAGCGAAGCCATCAGTTTACACAAGAGGAGTTAGATGATCTTGAGGAAGACATTCGCATGGTGAAGAAGTTGAAGAAGGGCAAAATAAAAGACAAGGATTTTGATAAGTATTTTGGCTGTGAAGCTGAAGCTGAAATTGAAGGAAATTCTGATGAGAAAAATAAGTTGAATGAAAAGTAAGAATTTTTGGTGGTACAGGTATTAAAATCTATTCTTGGAGATATAAATAGAGATGTAATTACTGAAATTATAAATTGTGAAGTTTTGTAACCTGTTAACTGTAAACCAGTACAGTATATATTTAAGGAATCTGACAGAGTGTATGTTATTGTTGATAAAAATGTACACCTGAGTATGTTGATAGGTATTATTGATGATTTTTGTATGGCAACAGTTAAGTCACTCTCACATAATCTTCAAGTTTTATGATGGAACACAGTATGTACATTATAAATATAAATATATACTGTAATCTGCATAAGGCTTTCATTAATCAGAACTCAGGAAGTGTCATTAAAACTATATTTCTATATTTTCCTGGGGAATTTTTTTTTTCAGTACAAGTACAAAGAAAATAGATGTTCCTGTGGTAGAGGTGTGAGAGTATCAAAGAGTAAAAGAGCAGTGACACTTGTTTTAAAACTTCAGTACAGTGTTGTATTACAATATGGTCTGTATTAGAAAAGTACCATGAATAGAATTGCTGAACTATGTACAGTACTGTATAGCTATTTCAGATGATAAGCCAGTCAAACCTAACCTTACCTAGCTCCATCTCCTCTAGGACTGTTTAATTGTTGTCGTCTGATTTAGAAGTAAGGTGACTTGATACTCCTGTTTCTGGTACTTTTCTGATATTGGTCGTCTTGCTGCTGTGTTGAACATTTGTTGAAGGATATGTGATTCAAGACTAAACTAGATCTGGTGTTAGTAAGATGTAAGGTTGAATTGATTTACCTATGAAGTGGCCCTGAACATAGCAGATTTATCTTTTTGTCTCGTGAAGGAATTTTTTTTATATTAAATTAAGGATTGGGGTCCAGTCTGAGGGAGCCCCAATCCTATTGCTTGGATCATGTTAGGCAGGGTTGGAACCTGTTTGGAGTGGGATTTATTTGAGTAACAATACTATATTCTGATGAGTTCCTTCTCCCATGATGATAGATGGCTATTTATATTAATTCTTACTGAAACATTTTTGCCTCTGACCATTTCCACACCAAGTGTTTCCTAGCAATATTGCATTCCACATTCTATTTTGCCTCTCAAATAAAGGGAGGACATGTCACTTGGACTGAGACAAATATCTTGAGAGGCCTTTGGTAATAATAAATCAACATTTATCTGTGGATATTCTTCTTGTTATCTTTGCACTTTTCTGTCATTTTCTACATTTGTCTTACACCATTCTTCCTATTTACTTCTCCCCAGTCTTTGTAGTTTATTTTACCACTTGATCTACACAACACAGAAGTAACAAAAGAACAGTAGTAAGATTTTATTCTCATTATTTTCATTTGACATTTATGTTTTACCGTAATTTGATACAATTAACAAGTGTCTCATTTTAAGATAAAAAATGTAACGACGATTATATCCAAGTCACCGGTACAGTAAAGTATTTATACGGCACTGGATGGAATAAGATATACTCAAATGTAATTCATGTCATGCAATGGTTTATACAGAGACAGTCTAAATATATACAGTATCCACAAAGTTTAGACCTTGAGTACTGTAGTGGTGAGAGTACCAACACTAGTAAGTATATGATTATTTTATGGATCTGAGGCCAATAGTGATCTCCCGGTCTTTAGGATATACTGTACTGAGTATATTTCCGTAATAATTTTGTTGTTGTTGATGATGCATATTTTTTTTATAGTACTGCACAGTTATGTTAAAAATACTGCACTCCCTCAAATGTATGGTATTGTGTACTCATCCCATGCATCCTCAGTATAAGTTCTGTTTTCATATTTGAGTCTGAAGGTGTGTTACAAAAAAGTGCCAGCAATGTAGAAATTAATTTGCATTTTCTTTATGGTCCCTATGCATGAGTAGGTGGTAACAAATCAACTGTGAATAGTGTGTTTGTTTTTGCATTTCCTCTGTTGTTGTGTTTTTATTGGGAGATCATTTTGACTACCTCAGGTCAGTTACATTCTTTAGGTTATCAGTAAAAAAACAGCTCTTTGAAGTACAAAACCCTATGTCATCTGCACTATTTAATATCAAGAGAAAGGTTCAGAATCTTTTGATGGAAAATATAAACCAGAGAAAAAACTGTTGCACTTTATTCTTCCTTGCTGTACACTTTGTCTAATTGTGTTACTGTACATTGTTACTGATCACCTTGTAAGCTTCCCTTCAGAAGTTTATGAATGAAGATCTCATGAGTTGCCAGGTTGTAGTCACTTAACTTAGCAACTATATCTTATGGGTGGCAAAAACAGTGTATGTTGACAACAGCCATTGGAGAATGGGAGATATTGTGCAGTACAGGTACTTTGAAATGTGGAATAAGAACATACTGTACCGTACTTGGCAAGAGCAACAAATGAAGGTTAGTTGTGTTTGAAGTATTAATATTGAATTTAGTAAAAGTAGTATGAGGACTATTTTAGTATATTTGTTATTATTTTTATCTATTATACTAGTATTTTAGATAGTTTAATGATAATTTAACTAGGGGATAGCTAAGGGGACTGGAAAGGAAATGCATTACTGTCCTTAAAAGTACTGATAAATATCTCTTGGTATGATAGACAGTGTGCTATTAACAGAACAAGTAATAAGTGAACCCAGTAGAATGTAATTGACTTCATGCCAGATATAGATAGTCCATGTACTGTACAACTGTATGTGTGAAGCTCATCAGATACTGACTTTTGAGGCTTTTGATAATTTCCAAATTTGTCACAAACGTTTTTTTATTTTTTTACTTTTATCCTCTTCGCCACTGATCGGCTTGTTAGCCGCTTGGGCGATCGGTCACGTCTCTTTTCATTTATATTCTTCACCAAAAGATCGGCTCGCTAGCCGCCCGGGCGATCGGTCACGTCTCTGTCACGCACTGTTGGCAAATAATGGGCAGTAGCATCACAGTAGAAGCTTTCATGTTATGGTCTTAAAAAGTTGAATTTCCAGCATACCTGCTATTAATTGTCACTGTTTATTAGAAAATTAAATCTTTAAAGGTATTATTGAAGTGCCATTAATTGTTTCATCATAATTGAAAAAAAACACGATTTCTACTGAGTACATGAATGAGGAGAAAAAATTGAAGTGAAGTAGAAAATAGGTACAGTACATACAACTTGTTTTAATGAGAAGGGCACTAAGATACAGTATTGTAAAGAAGTTCTGAAGAGGAGTCTACTGTATATACGTTAATGCCCAGGAAAGCAAACTACAGTACAGTAATGGCAATTGGGAAGCAGAGTCAATTTGAAGTATCATTGTGTAGTCAGAGGTTAGAGAGAACTCAGAATAATATAAGATTTTTTTTTTTAAGCGAGGGAACACTGGAGGCTTGTAATATTAAATTGTAGAAGGTTGGTGATTTGTTTGTGTAGTGATAAGAATAATGAACAACATACAGGTGTAGAAAGGTTTTATTCTGGTTGATGGAAGAAGTTAAATTGTGCATAAATCATAATCAGGGGGATAACAAGCAATGGATTATGTCATGGTTACTTTAATCTTTTATCTTGGTTCCAGTAACTGTAGGAGTAGTTCCATCTCTCACAAGAAACACATGATATATTTTTTTTATAATTATTTCATGTAAATTTTCATCAAAAGGTTAATAAGGTTGATTTCAAGCTACTGGTGGCGACAGGGTTGTTTTGGAAAAATTTAACTTAAAATTCACTTACTATTCATGTTATTAATAGTATGTGCACACTTACATTAATAGAGTGATATACCTATTCATTCCTAAATCCATTCATCGTACAACATAATTTTTCCCAGTTACAGTACAACCTATTCAATCATTCATTAACACACTCACCTTACATGCTAAAATAACTATAATCAAGTTTCACTTGCAAAGGTAAAGTTTCCTGGTCTGCTTTTGATTATGATATCTTGTGAATAACTATACAACCATATTTCTAGAATGGTTGATAGACCTGTACTGAGTTTTGTTTTTTCTTTTCGCAATTAATTTATAAATAATTTTCCATCTTCGTGATTATGAATGATCAATCTGGCCTGGGGTAACAGTAGTGAGCGTCCGTCCCCAGGATGATGAAAAAGCCGACTGATTTTCCCTTCCCTGCACCAGCCAATCAAACTACTACTGTACACTAGATAGAGTGACATCACAGTGGTGTGGGGTACACATGGCAAACATAGTTGAACTATCTAACTACTTTACATTCTTATTGGATAATTTACTTAATTCTTACATCCTCAAGCATTTGCTAATGATTCAAATGAATTGAATTACATCATGTCTGGTATGCAGTATATTCATATATATTATAATATACGATGTGACTGTAGGTATATTTCAGGATTTTTATGCCAGAACGAGAAATGGAAAGGAGGGTATAAAGTGCTATTTTGGGTTGATGTGGACAAATGGAGAGAACAGACATTGGAGGAGCAAGAGGAGATAAAACACACATAAATGAAGTGGGAGGAGTAGGGTGGGGGACTAAGTGCAGGTGTTGCGAGAATACATCAGTGTGTGGAGACGGATGATGGACAATGATTGATGATGGACAATAGCATACAGTATTGACTTGTTAACTGATGAGGAACTGTCAAGGTATAATTCCACAAAATTTAAAATTATAAGTAAATAACATAATTACTTAGGAAAGGAGGCACTTATAGATTTGGAATGAGCATTAATGTGGATAAATTGCTGTATGGGGTATTTGAGGTACTGTATTAGGTAGGTAATTATCGCTTTATTGGTGGGTATATTTATTTTGCTAGGTAGAAAACGGAGTAAATTGCTTAAGATAATGTTCAAATATACAGTGTGTTGAATGTGCCCTAATTGAGATACTGTATTTCAATTGTTTGCACCATTAGAGAGCTGAATCTTTTTTCCATATTCATATATATCCAGCATCATCATAGTAACCAGACAACAACACAGCCATGAGTGCCCCCAAACAATGGCGTGAAAAATCTAAATACAGTATCATAATTATGATGTCCACCGCCCTTTACATCTTTTCCTCTCAGGTATCATATGATGTCTGCTGCCCTTTAAGGGTTAAGTCATCTAGCTGGCAAAAACTTACTCATATGAACGCTAATGATTGGATTTAAAGCTACAGTAGGTTGGTGATGGATAGAGCATATGTATTCCTTAAAAAATTAAGATACAGATGCAGTATATGTCATGTGTTATGTTAGCTATGGTTTATATGGATACCCTGTACAAGTATCACCTGATCTACGATATTCTGCTTTAACTATGGTGATGTATTAAGACCACCCTCCCCCCTATTTACCATGTAAACAATCTGCATGAATGCTGGTCATCGTTCGGTCAAAGCACTTTACAGTCACAAAAAACATAGCAAATATCACTTCACAATGCGATCACTAGGGAACATAACTTGTACTGTAGAGCACCAGATCTTTTGCCGTGCCCTATATTTGTTGACTCTCTCTGAACTTATTTGGCCAACTGTACAGTAAGGGACAATTTAGACAAAAGTTTGCTTCCGTGTTGAAACTGAGTCACAGGAATGAGTCTCCAAACTGACTTACCCTGACTGTTTCATCTCATTTGGGGGGTAATGCTGCTTCATTTTGGGTGGGAGCGAACTTTTACCCCGACTGTACCTTTAACACCTTAAATAGGCAGCTCAGGTAAACCAGTGAAGATGCAAGTACCCGGTAAGTAATTTTATTATCTGAAAGCGTGAATTTGTTTGTGACTTTGACGGTAAATATTCTTTATTTCAACAATTTCCCAACTCATATCTTGAAAGCTAACGTTCTCAAGCCAGAACTGGGTATCCTTAACAGTTACATATGGATTTATTTGCAAAATACCAATGTTAAGTGAACTTTATATATGAGCCAAGGAACTGCAAGGAGGTGGGGCTTCTTAGCCTTTTATCATCAGTTAAAAAACAACAACAACTAAAGATATTATTTTAACAAGGGATAATGCCAGCTGTTTTGTCACCATGCACCTGTTCTGTATATTAACTCGATGGTGTTCTCCCTCAGGTCAGACCCCAGGGGACCCCTATGTGGATCGTTTGCCCTTCAACCTCCACAACAGGTTTAACTCTACCACCATTCAGGGAAGAGCCAATGTAAGTATTCTATAGGCCTGATGTAGATTTGTGGAGCAGGCAGTAGGGGGTTATATAGCTGAATCAACACTGGTAAGCCACCAGTTTTCTGGCACCAACAGGGATTGAGAGGTGCCGGATAAAAGTTTTTCTGGTTAGTTGAAACTCGCTCTTAGGATCCCCTAATAAATCCTTCAATGCACAATGCTACAGGCTCGCCTCACAGATTTGTGTCTCAGAAAAACAGAATTCTTTAACACTATTTCACTCTGCATAAATGATGTAGCTCATAGCTAAAGAAAATGTAATATATAACAATAAAATAAGAAAAATTAAGAGCATGGGTGTGTATGTGTGAGAAGTGAACGTGTGTGGAGGCAGTTATTGAAGGTTACAAGTGTTCCCTGAGGAATGCAGTGATGGGTAGGGAAACACCGGGTAACACTGAAGTCCGTTTATTATGGATGAGAGAAATACAAGTGGTGACTAGCGTGTGCCATGCACGGCTCACACAGTCAGACTGAGACTGCCTTGCCATATGGCAGCCTCGGGGCAATGTTGCCACATAACACGTGCAGTGTTGCCACGTAATTATATACATAGGTGCTACTCGGCACAGTAGCTTATATACAAGGTTGCTACTCGGCACAGTAGCTTAGATACATAACCTACAGTTATAGCCAAGGCCTTGACGTCCTGGCATACACAGTGCAGAGCCGCAGCCACATGTCTGTGAGTCAGCTGGTTGACTGCTTGCTTGAAGTGGGTTGTGTTGGCTGGAGGATGGTTTGAGTGTGGAAGGAGCTTTTTTTTGTACATAGAATATGTGCTAGTGTATTTTATGATATGCTATGTATTGATTTTATTGTTTATCATAGAAATAAATATGGTAGGTCATCCCGATTGGGCATGGTATAAAAAGTTAAATACTACTGTACCTGATTTTGGAGGAATTTATATTTTATTATTAGTATTTCATTTTGGTGCCAGTTAGTTGAATCCACCATTTGCCCAGATACTGGATGACTGGGATTCTACTGAATATTGTGATGTAGTAGAACGATGACACATTGAAAGCTTATTTGTAGACTTAATGCAGTAACACTGTAATTGTGAGAGAATAATGAAATAATAATACAGTGTAAACATACGCTGCACCCTCGCCTAACACAGAGGTTGCTTTCCCAGAAAATGCCGTGTAGAACAAATCCGTGTAAAGCAAACCCATTATAACATGGGAGACTAGGGGATGCATAAGGTTGACCCCAAAAAGTCCCCTCCTCCCATTTCAAAACTACTCCAAAACCAAAGTTCAAAGATATCGTACAGCTCTAAAGCAGCTCACTAATATATATACAATACATCTACCAAATTCAATTAAACATAATGTTGTGGAGGCACTGGCATGTCCATAAAATCAGTTCCAAAAGGTTTAACTGCGGCCATTTGCAGACTATGACTGAGCCACTAGTGGCCTCCCTCAAGCCTCACCATAGCAACCCTGCCTAGCTGGGGACTTCCCTTAGCAACGCTCCCCCTTCCGCTAGCATATGAAGCAATCTTTAATCAATATATGTTTGACATAATGAATCTTTTTCTTATTCTGTATGTAGGATTGTGTGTGCATGTAACCGAATAAACAAAATATGAAGAAAGTTAAGTTTATCTACTTAAAATTACAAGTTGAAAAATAACCATTATGTAACTCCTGCTGAATCTCACTGGTGCACAAATAAATATTGTATTTACATTCGTTTTATGGTTTTGACCAAATGATGATTTGTTTTTTGCACATTCTATACTTAGATATGTGTGTGTGCATTTCTCTTGATTGACTCGTTCATGGAGAAACCACTCCGACTGAGTGGGCCGACTGACCTCTCTCTAGTCGTAAGAATGTCTAACTTAAACATGATGAACAAGTATTTAAATAAGAAGAATGATGGTGGTGTAGAATGTTGGTAGGACGTTAATGTTCAACAGAAGTGGTGGATTGGCCTTGCTCTAGTTGTTGAAGAATGTCTAATTTACTCTCTAGGGTAAACATAGTCCTACTCGTCTTTGCTGGAGTGTCCCTGGGCAGAGGGGTACTTGTACTTAAAGAACGTTTAGGTGGAGCCATGTTGACGAAGCAAGCAAAAAAACATGAGTTAACTCAAGTGAAGTTTTGGTTATGGCCGGACTGAACACAAGCTAAACTCTGAGCCACGCGACCTGGGAACACTACCCGTGGCCTGTAATGGACTCAACCGCTGGCCCACACAAAACCTTTCTATCTGATTGCATTTGGCCGATTTTTCCTGTTAGCCTGAGTCAACCCTCATTAGAGCAAATTTTAGCCCAGTATTAAGCTATACGGGGTAGTAATAAAAAAACTGTGTTTGAGCAAATCTGCATTGAACAAACCCGTATAAAGTGAGTTTTCGTAAATTAAATCCTTGTAAATTAGGGGTTGCTGGAACAGTACAGTATTTAATGTATATATCATCAATTTGTTTTTATTTGCTTAAAATAACATCAGTTATCTCCATAAATATCTTATGATTCAGGAGCAGTCAATTTTATTAGTGGAATTAACCTAATGTGACGTTTTTCTTAAAATCCGAGCAGGTTGCCAAAGCTACGATGGCACTGGTGACCGTAGCTTCCCTCGGAGCGTACATGGTAGGCCCCTCTGTGGTGAATGCTCTGTCCGAGACTCCAGCACCCAAGCCCACTCCCACAAACAAGAAGGAGGACCTGGCTCAGGCTGCCTCCAACTCCAACTGAGGATTGCTAATGGTTTTACACAAATTGTTCAAGGGCACTGGGACTTGGGGGGGGTGCAAAAAAGTGTTTGATGGGTAAGCCATTTTTCAGATGAATTGGTTGTGATCATTCTTTCAAAACTAAAACAGGACAGGACAGGTCAAAAAACATTTTAAAACAAAATGTTTCCCCTTACTGGTGTTTAGGTGGTAGAACAATTAGATTCCAGTCTTTGTAGAGTTCCAGCAGCTTTGCCACTAATGTAGCTGACCTGTCAGCAGCACCACCTTCCATGTCAACAGACAGATGTTCACACTCTAGCTATGGTAGTCAAGTGCATTTTCCGGAGGTCACGGCACAGTATTTGGCTGTTTAATAATAATTTGGGGTGTCAGTGATGCTGTCAGTATGAGGATGAACTGATGTAGTTTATTGTTACTAGGACAATCCTGTTTGATGCTCAATTTTTGCAGTGGTTGTTTGGGTTGGTAGTGAGGCAGGGAATTCTTCCTATTTCTGAATACTTTTTTGATAAAAAAGTGTAGATTACACTGTAAACAAGAGATGAAGTTTTCATATTATTCATCACTTATACTCACCTCAATGAGTCCCTCTGTATAGTAAAATATTATTTATTTTCATTTTCACTACCTCATAGTGTTGTTCAAGTATGTAAATAAAATATGACCGAACGGATGTGGATGTTTTCATTTCTCATCAGTTCCTGGGGCAACACAGACTCAACTTCACTTACTGTTATTCATTCTTTCTAGCTACAATATATACTGTACAACATCTGTGTACAAATGTTGTCCCCCTTCTACAACAAGGCCTCTGGAACTACTGTATCATCTGTCTGTCTATGTCTGTCTTTATTATGTTTATACACATCTATATATCTAATATATAGTGTAGGGGAGGCACAGTGCTTATGGTATACATAAACTTTAAAAAAAAAGTAATTGATTTTTTTTAATAGGATAAGATAATACTTTAATAATATAGATGATGTGCTGGTGTTTTACTAATAATTAAAGAATAAAGTACTGTACTGTACAGGGAATCATTATCCAAAGCTATTAGGGTCTAGAAAATTGCCACTTTAAACAAATCCCATAAAAGCTGGGAATTTCTGGCCATAAGAAATAATGGAAATAAGGTTTGAATGGGACCATAAGATACTAAATGACATTCAAAAGGATTATTTTTATAACTTTTATCATTTATACTCGGGAATTTGAAGACCATGTGAGATTTCTATCACACACTCATCACTTTTCTTCCAATCAATAATTTCTAATTCGTGTACATTCCATAGCAGCTACGTTTCTTTTTAGAGGTGGCCCTTAGTTTAGCACTGGCACCATGCTTTGAACTCATTGCTAAAACAATAGCACCCAAAAAGCAATAGAAGACGGTGGAGATTAGATTAGACATTGTTTATGGTGGGCAACTCACCCAGCTGACTCCAAGATGTTTGTGTGTGTGTGTGTGTGTGTGTGTGCCGAATGGCACATTGGGCCGGGTGGGTGGCAAGTTGGCAACCCTGTTACAGCCCATTGCCTCCACGAGCCTGTAGTATTTTGTGCTGAATCCCATGAAAAAAATAATTTCTTGTGCACATGGATTTTTATGAAGTTACAATACAGAAGTTTATTGAGTCATCTTGTTTGGATCCAGAAGGCACTGGGCATGAAGCCCTGTGCATTTCTTCCCTGACCTGTAAGTGTTCAGAGAAATGAATTTGCATAAGAAGTAGTTCATATACTGTACAGTACAGTATATGTAACACTGTGGCTATTATGTTGTCTCCGGTTGAATAGCCTGGTAGTCTACAGAGCCGGAATGGCTATTCAGCTGTGAACCCATAAACATTGTAACAACTGTATATCTGTAACTAGATATACAGTTTCTGCCATGAGCATCCACAGGATTTTTCCTGGGGGGGGGGGGTGCAAGAAAGCAAGACAAGATATGACATCAGTTTATTCAAAAACTATGACTAAGTATAATTGAATTACTGTGCTTTCGAGTATACTGTATTGTATGATGAGAAATATCACTTGTCAGTGTTTTTGTTGTTTATTTGTCTATTCTCTTTAGTTCTTTGTTTATACTCTTTATAATCACACACTTTGGTATGGTAATGCTCAAGTACAAGGAGATGGGGAAAGATAAACTCTATAGAATAAAAATAAAGTTTATTCTATAGAATAACAGCAGAGTGCTGGAAGCTGCAGTTAGTCTGGTGCTGGGAGAGAGGAGTTGTTGCTTCTGTGGCTGGAGAGGATTGATGATCTAGTTAGCTGCTGTCACGTGATTATACCTGTATACCTGAGTTGTGGTCTGTGATTGGTCCAGCAGCGTTGTCCTTGGCTAGTCCAATAGCCAATCGGCATTTGGATCAGGAGAGAGTGCTCGATCGTGATCTCGCCCATGGTTGACAAAAATGCTGATGCCGAATCAATGTGTGGATCAGGTGAGTGCTTGATCGTGAGATTTTGTAGGGTGTCCCCTACAATACTCCTCCCCCCCACCCTTCGTAACTCCGGGTGCCAGGATGGTCACGGATGTAAAGCTTCCTGTCAGCTGTCATAGACATAAGAGGCATAGCATAGTGGGTTTGGGTGTTGATTCTGCTGCCATTACGAGTGACGAAGTCCTGAAAAGATATGGTGTCCTCAGTAGGAGGAGAGGAAGTGGTAGGAACAGGAGGAGGAGGAGGAGAAGAGGTAATGGTAAGAACAGGAGGAGGAGGAAAGGAAGTGGAAGGAACAGGAACTGGAGCAGTTGCTGTCTCAGGAGGTACCCAGAAGTTTTGTGAATGTGGTGAAGCTGACATTGGTGGAGGGAGGATAGGTAGTGAGGGAGATGTATGAGGACGGGGGGTAATGCTGGGTCCACTTGAGATCTCATCAGAATAAGATGGCTAGTTTAAGGCTGACGGTGTTGTGTCTGTCAATCGTCAGTGTATGTGAAAAAAATGCAAAAAACGTGAAAAAACGGCGTGGTAGGGTGATCCAGAGTGTGGTAGGGTGTGGTAGGGTGGTCCAAGGTGTGGTAGAACAATCCAGGGTGTGGTAGAACAATCCAGGGTGTGGTAGAACAATCCAGGGTGTGGTAGGATGATCTAGGGTGTGGTAGGGTGATCCAGAGTGTGGTAGGATGATCTAGGGTGTGGTAGGGTGGTCCAGGGTGTGGTAGAATAATCCAGGGTGTGGTAGGGTGGTCAAGGGTGTGGTAGAATGATCCAGGGTGTGGTAGGCTGATTTTGAGTGTGGCAGGGTGATTTTGAGTGGCAGGGGGATCCAGGGTGTGGCAGGATTATCCAGAGTTTGGTAGGGTGATCCAGGGTGTAGCCAGAGGTTACCAACTGAACAAATTATATTATAAGTTTGATGGGGATGGGGTTATAAGCTATTTCAAACCATTTACTTTGACCATCAACAACTAGACGACTATATACGCTAATAGACCAATTTGGTTTAATTATAGCATGAGATTTGGGTCCGACTAATTACCCAAATGTAGCCGCAATGAAGTCAAATAATGGTCCTACATGAATAAATCGGGTTACCAATCACTTCTCGACTAGTATTTGGTTGACACAAAGCAAAAAAAAAAATTGGAAAACGTAATTTAATTTGAGTTAATAGATCGAGTGCATGTACCTAACCTAACCTAATCTAACCTCGACTAGTATTTGGTGTCACGAAGTCACAAAAAATTGGTAAACTTAATTTAATCTGAGTTAATAGATCAAGTGCATGTACCTAACCTAACACAACACAACTCAGATTAAATTAAGTTTACCAATTTTTTGTGACTTAATGACACCAAATACTAGTCGAGAAGTGATTGGTAACCCGATTTATTCATGTAGGACCATTATTTGACTTCATTGCGGCTACATTTGGGTAATTCCTCGCTCCCTCGGTACAAGCACGCGATCTATTAACTCAGATTAAAGTAAGTTTTCCAATTTTTTGTGACATTGTGACACCAAATACTAGTCAAGAAGTGATTAGTAGTCCGATTCATTCATGTAGGACCATTATTTGACTTCATTGCGGCTACATTTGGCTACATTTGACTAATTAGTTGGACCGTTGAGATATAACCTAACCAAAATATTTTGTAGAGTGCATGTTTAGTAGCATCACCAATTTTCTACCCACTAGATTCCTATTTTTTCATATATAACAAAAAGTAACCCATATTCACATATACAATATATAAATTATATATACATAACACAATGTGGAGGAATAAATGTCAAAATCTGTAAATATACTGTACATAATATATGGTATTAAATAGTTCTATGAAGAAACAGTAAATAAGTTCATAACTAATTGACAAATAACAAGCTAACAGCCTGAGGCACTAGTGAACTGATAATGATAATATAATAAATTAATACACCTAAAGATATGGATAATGGGACATAGGGATAAAAAGGTCAATTGTTTCGTTTCATCAGGCAGTCATAACCATCTTTCACCATTATACTGTAGATGAAGAAGATGTGAGAAGGACCTGGGTGTGTATGTTGACAATGAGCTGAAGTTCTCGGGCCATTGCGAGAAGAAGGTAAATCATGCAAATAAATTATTGGGTCTTATAAGAAGGTCGTTCAGATATCTAGACGGTCCGTCCCTCGTAACGATCTTCAGGAGTGAAGTGCTTCCCCATCTGGAGTACTGTCACCCCATCTGGTCCCCGAGATATGCTAGGGACTGTCAGTTGGTTGAAAATGTTCAAAGGAGGGCCACCAGACTGGTGCCTGCACTTCGGCACCTCAGCTACCCTGAGAGATTGGAGTGCCTGAACTTGCCTAGCTTATACTACAGACGGGCAAGGGGTGACCTAGTTGAGGTGTATAAGCATCTCAGGGGGCACTACTCAGTTGAGTGTCCTTACTTGGAGCTGCGGACGCTCGCCCCACAAGGGGTCACAGCTCAAGTTTGAAGAAGCTGCAAGTCCAGAAAACTGTGAGGGCAAACTTTTTCTGAGTGAGGGTTGTAAACTCTTGGAACAATCTACCAGAGAGTGTTGTGACGGCACCGAGTGTGAGCTCTTTCAAGACCAGACTTGACCAACACTGGAGCGGGTTCAGGTACATTCAGGAGCCGGTGCATGCCCAGTACTTGCCAACAGTGAGTGACAGAGACGTGACCGATCGCCCAAGAGGCTAACAAGCAGATCTGTGGTGAAGAGGATAAAACTAAAAAGAAACATACTGTATCCGGATTCCTGGACGACGGCTGAGAGTCAGACCTCCAGAACAATAACAACCAATTACGGTCACCATGAACCACACACCGATATACAAGCTGGTTAACAGGCAGTGGAAAACATTACCTGATCAAGGAGATACTGATGTATATATTAGAGATCCTAAATTAAAGCAAGGACATCTGGGGAACCTGAATAAGAAATCTGTTATTGAGTTGGAAGAGGTGCTAATGAGACAACAACATGTGCTGAACAATAGGTGAATTAGTGTGTAGTTTAAATTAACTTAAATTAACCCTGGTGGATATTTTTGTTCTTTTTCTTAAACCATCCATCACCTTTTATCATATGAAAAATATATTTGGTGAATTTATAGTCTTACACAGGTCTTTCTTTCACTGTTTCTAATACGTATTTTGCAATGTTTAGACAATTCTAAGACATTTTTCTTCTATGATATTTCTGCCGGAAGTTAAGGATAACCGAGATAATAATTTTTTTAATATTAGATTTGCTCAGTCAAGTGTGGCCATTTGTTGTGTACATCTGGTGGAGGTCTGACCCCCCCCCCCCAAGCCAGTGCTTCATACGTTTACAGTGCATGTAGGGGGGTGTGGAAGTTTCTTATTAGTTATATCGATAGGAGACTTAAGGTGTTTTAAGATGCAAAGAATAGCTAACGCCCACCAACCTGGTCTCATGGCTCACTGATTTCTTGACTGGACACCCCCAGGCAGTGAGGTATCAGGGCTTGGTCTCCACATTCCAACACCTCACCTGCTGTGTTCCCCAGGGGACCAAGATGGGACCACTGTGCTTCCTCATCCTGATCAACGACGCTCTATCGGACGCTCCTCACAGGTGGAAGTACGTAGATGACTGCACTGTGGGGGTTTCAGTGGACAACACCTCACCGGACTACTCATCGCTACAAGGCACCCTGGACAGGCTACAGGCATGGACTACGGAGAACACGGTCACCATCAACCACACCAAAACCGTAGTCGTGCACTTCAACACCGCCACCACTCCAGTGCAAGCCCCAGCAGTCACAGTGGGTGCCCATCCTCTCCAGCTGGTGCAGTCGGGTCCGACTAATTACTCAAATGTACCCAAATGTAGCCGCAATGAAGTCAAATAATGGTCCTACATGAATAAATCGGACTGCCAATCACTTGTCGACTAGTATTTGGTGTCACAAAGTAAAAAAAAATTGGAAAACTTAATTTAATCCGAGTTAATAGATCGAGTGCATGTACCTAACCTAACCTCGACTAGTATTTGGTGTCACGAAGTCACAAAAAATTGGTAAACTTAATTTAATCTGAGTTAATAGATCGAGTGCATGTACCTAACCTAACCTAACACAACACAACTCAGATTAAATTAAGTTTACCAATTTTTTGTGACTATGACACCAAATAATAATTGAGAAGTGATTCACAGCCCGATTTACGCTTGTAGGACCATCATTTGACTTCATTGCGGCTACATTTGGGTAATTACTCGCTCCCTTGGTACAAGCACGCGATCTATTAACTCAGTTTAAATTAAGTTTTCCAATTTTTTGTGACTTTATGACACCAAATACTAGTTGAGAAGTGGTTGGCAGTCCGATTTATTCATGTAGGACCATTATTTGACTTCATTGCGGCTACATTTGGGTAATTAGTCAGACCGGGTGCAGTCTGCCAAACTCCTGGGTGTAACTGTAGACAACAAACTTGACTGGAAGGCCCATGTAAATAACACAGTCAAGGGAGCCTCGTACCGTCTCTACATGCTACGACGACTTAGGTCACTTGGAACACCCACACCAGAGCTGAGGACCATCTACAACGCCTTTATTCTCCCCAAACTAACGTATGCGTCACCAGCCTGGTCGTTTTCTCTCAACTCCACCCAACAACATCAGCTGGAGAAGGTACAGAAAAGGGCCTGCAGAATCATGCTCAGCGCAGAATACTCCGGCAACACCAGTGCTCTCTCCACCCTGGAAATGCCATCCCTCAGTGACCTTCACCACCAAACACTGGAAAGGTTTGGCCGTGGACTACTGCACCACCCTCGACATCGCCACCTCCTGCCACCGGCAGTCCTCCACCCACCTCTCGCAGTCCACCACTACAACAAAATTCAGCCCATAAGAGCCCGCACTGATAGATATAAGAATAGCACTGTGTTGTACAACACAGTCTTCAGAAAACAATAATATTAGGAGAAATGTTATTTGGACACAATACGGAAAGAAATAGAGAAGAAAATATATAGAAAATTACGGAAAGAAAGACAAAAAAGGAAAAAAGTCGGTTAACAATAAAGAAGAATACTGTAACATAAAAAATCGGGCCCATTGTAAAGGTTATTTCTCCCAGACACTGGAGCCACATGAAACGACTAGAGCAGCTGTACGCTTCTTCTCTCGCTACTCTGTTCCCATATTTTGACATGAAACACGATGAATTTCAGGCTTGTTTAATACTTAATTTTTGCACTTACAGAACTGTAATCAACTTGTTCACCCTTATTTAAAGTAGATTATGAGTAATGATATTAAAGTTTTAATCATATTTGAGTAATTATGAGTAATTATCAATATTGTTACACCAAAGTCACCAACGGCTAATGAAATCGGACAGCGCCCACTTAAAAATGGGCGGAGCCAAAGCTGGTTTCAACTAGGCGCAATCCTTTTCAATTCATTTATGCCATATGCTTTGTTTTAGGTCCTATCCAATATACTACCAATATAGAATTATTCTCCATAAGCGGCCATGATCCGTGTATTTTTAGTGGGAGAAACTCGCTGATTGGTTGTTAGCTATTCGGGCGCCTCTGCCGGCTGCAAACGCTAATGCCTGATCGAGGTGTTAGCTTTTCACTCTGAAAGTGTCATGTGCAGAAGTCAGCAGCAGCATCTGCACAGACAGAATAGCTAACTCGTTAGCTATTTCATGTACTGTATCTGAAACGCCTTACAATAAACGCCTTTATTATTGGGCAAGAGTGGGTGCGTCGGGAGCGGAGATTTGAATTTTCAGTACCAGATATGGCTGAACAGGTGGAATAGCTGTGCCGACATTGTGCTAAAGATTATTTTACGTCAATTGCCGAGTTTCATCAGAAAAATAGAGGCAATTTCTTTTTTTTAGAAAACACGGCGTATTACCGAACAACATTCTTTGTCCAAGATGTGGGAGCATGAACAAAGGGGGTGAGGTTAGGTTAGGTTAGATTAGGTTTTGTTTTGTTTTGTTGGTTGGTTGGTTGGTTGGTTGGTTGGTTGGTATTTTATTTATGTGATTTACTTGAAAAAAATCCAACTTTTTCCGTTATGATTGTTGAGGGGGGGGGGGATCTCAAAAACTAGTGATTTCCAGTAGAAATTATTGTAATATCAAATTCGTTCGAAACTCATCAAATACCAGAGGAAAAACATATTTATAATATCAAAAGAAAGACCGGTGCCAGATGTAAACAAGTCATGGCGACACTCATGACTGAGAAAAAATTAATATCTCGGTTATCCTTAATTTTTGGCTGAAATATCATAGAGCAACCTGTGTTTCCTGCTTTCTATCCCACACCATTAACTTTCCACTCCCCTTTTTCTTATTTTATAGTTTTATATTATATTTTCTTTATTTATAAGTCACATTGGAGCATTATATTACAGTACTGTATTTTAATATTTGAGGAGGGGTTCGGTATACGTATAGTGGGGTATGCTATAAATCTAATCTGGATCCTACCACGGTAATATTCCTAGTATCTAACGGGTTTTACCTATAAAATTGGAGAATTCTATATAACTAACTAAAACTCCTACAAACGGTAACATTATTTAAATTTTTTTTCTAATTTATTGTTTTTTTATTACAAATATTAATGATATTCTTTATTTCCAGGGGTTTAGATGCATATTTATGCACTTTTTTACAATTTTTACATAATTTTATATTATATTTTTCAGTGTTAAGTGGTTGTAGGGGCCTGGAACGGATTAATCCTTATATCGAATCTTAATGCTATAATCTAATGTTCTAGAACCAATTAGATTCGCTATAGCATACCTCCCATTGTATAGCAAATTTTGGTATATAGAAGTTTGGTATAGAGAGGTGAAACTGGAGCTATAACATAAACTCACTGTTGTTTATGAAATATTCAAATTTGTGAAATGTGGATGATACAACCTCAAGTTCTCAGGATCTTGACAAACGATTTTTTTTTTAGCTCTGTGAATTTAACTGAATTAGTTATTGAAGAGATGTTGTGAGCATTTTATTGGAATAGACATTTACAAGATTACGTGTATTATACATTTATACACTACGGTGTACTGTATATCATAAACCTGTACAGTAATTGAGTTACAGTATATTAGTCTCACCAGAACAGGGAAGGATGAAGTACAGTACAGTACATTATACTGTACCATTGTAAAGACTGTAGCTACTGTACATGTTAAAGAGTTAGCTTTTTATGAGTGTTCATTGACTTCTGTACAGATCTCATTTACATTTCAGTAGTGACAGTGTAAGGCTGTTGAATTTGTGAAATGAACATTTCCCTTTGAGGTTTGTGTATTTTTTTAAGTGTTCCAATACATATTAAGAAGCTCTCAGACCAGTAGGAACTTTCATATACGCAGTTAGTCATGACTGTTAAGCTGATGCTAATTTAAAAGAATGGTTTCTGGTTTAAGTCTGTCAGTGTCTTCATAAAATTATATGAAATGTTTTCATTGGTTATATATTATGGGTATACTGATGGCCAGTTCACTTACTGTCTTCAGGGTCATAATTGCTATGTACTATTATAAAAATAGTATATAATATTTGATGCTATTATTTAAACAAACAAATTATATATTTTTCCTTCTTAGATCTCTCATATCCAAACTCAAAGATAAAGGACAGAGTTTAGAAAAACGTCTCCAAGAAATTGCTGCCGCCCTTAAAGATGCTCGGGAAAGAGAGAGGAACTCGATGGAGGAAGAAGCCCTTACTGATGCATGTGCATTAGGTAAATATTTAAAGTAATTTTGGAGATACTAGAGGACAAACACCTAATCTGGGCACAACTTTAATTGTTGTGCACATTACTTTGGCCTTGAACAATTACCTGAACCTTAATATTTTCATCTCCGATGGAATGTCAAGGCAAAAATGAAATGTATTATTGTACTTAATGATGTCCAAAAATTTTGAAGGCCAAACCTCTTGTAAACATTTACCAAAATTTTACCAAAGGTCTCCTTTTTATTTTCCCCTTTATCTTTCTTCTTCTTTTGTTTTCTTTTCTTTCTTTCTGTAGCTTCATGGTTAGCAAATTGTGAAAGAGGTGCAAAATATGGGCTGAGAGTTAAGGCTGTATAGACAATAGCGGTTATGGTTGTTTTCAAACGAAATAAATCCTAAAATAAAAATTATGGTAGGTAGCAGGGAAATTAAACAGAAGGACAATTTTGTGAAGCTAATTGGGAAGTAGCATTAGTTGTGATGATAGATATAGAAAAGAAATTAAAGTAGAATAAGTTAAACTAAAGCAGCATTCCATCATATATTTAAGAGACCTGATAAAATAGGACATTAATTTCAATCTGAGAAGAAATTTGCTAAGTTGCTAGGTAAGTTTAGTGCATTTATACAGAATAACAAAAATAAAATCCAAACTGCCTACTGGTGCTCTGTGTTTCCAAGCTGATTTGAGACTTAGTGATTATTTTTTCTTAATCAGTATTGGTTGCCAATCTTGTTCATATAGAGTACCTTTTTTCCAGAATGGCGTAATTGTAGCAGGAATGGTGTCAAGAGTGAAGCCCCTCTAGATAGTGATGATGATTTAGAGGAGTGTGAGGAAAGACTTGACCCACTGAAACTTATGGCAAATCATTCTTCTACCGTAAAGAAATATTCACAAAAAACTCCTCGGTAAGATGAGGACCACTGTTCTTTGTTTAGTTTGCATGAATTTTGTGTTTGTTTTGATTAGTTGTAGAAATGAGAAGGTAATTTAGTGGATATAAATGTATTATACCGTTAAGACCCCGAGTAATTAAACCACAGCGATGTCGTTACTCAGAATCTGTTATTGGGATGTCCATAGCAGCAGGGAGGCACAACTCTTCAAAACAATAGCCAGCATATTACACTAACATAGATTGTTTTATTTAAGCTCATAATAAAGTAGTTCAAGTAAATAATCATACTTATGATATACTTTCAGGAAATTCAGTGTTTTTTATTTAAAGTGTTAATAGATTCTAGATTCTAAAACATACATATACGTGTATGTTGCATGGTTGGCCTTTTGCAGTGTGAGATAAAGTGAATCGTGTGGATGTGTACAGTATTTGATAGTTACTCAAGAATAGTTTGTTTTTATTATCACATTTCTATGCATAAAGTTTGGGGTCAAACAATAACCAGTATGTACATTGTATTTTTGAGGAGTTAAAATTCATTCATTTCTGTGGGTTTATTTACGGTGAACAATAGCTTCCTGGGACATGCTCACGGTAGGCTAACCTTACCAAGCTGTGAGGTGTTATAAACTTGTAATTTTGGGTTGATATACCGGGTATATATGACCTTCTTTATTTTATTTTTTTCTTGTTCAGTTACATGCACACTCAATCCTACGTACTGTACATATATGAAGCTGAGCTGGGGAAGCAGAGTGGGGGGGGGGGTTCTAATGAGTCGGCAGAGGCGGCGTTGCTGTGGTAAGTGTTGAGGTGGTCAGGTAGCCAGCGTTTATGCAAATGGCAGTTGTGGTAAACTTTTATTAAGCTTTTCTTTAATGGTTTTACATTTATTTTCTTCATCCTGATTGTATACAAATATTGTTTGAACTAGCACAATTGTTAATAACATACTGTACTGTAGAAATGTAAGTACAGGTTGTACCTCTTTAGTCCGGCATTCTGTGGTCCGGGAACTCCCGTGGTCAGGAACGATTTTAGTTTGCCCAATAGGTAGATAGGCAGGGTTTTTTATTTTATTTTTCTGAATTATTATTATTATTACAGGAGTATTACATTTTCGCCCCTTAGGCTCCAATGTGGGTCAGTGACCTGTGCCCGGGTGGGCTAATCCCCGTAAAAAAACAACAACAACAAAGCCGCGGGAAATTAAGGTTTGTTTACATCCGGCAGTTCGGCTTTCTCTCTGTTTGTCTATAGAGAGTACAACATTTAACCCTTCAATATATATGAACCGTAAATAAGTGTTGCTTTCATATTCTTATGTAGAGTAATGACGATATGTTTTCACATGTGCGCACTTACATACGCGATCTCACTTTTTTCTTTAACATTAATGGTTAGCTACTTATATTGTTCCCTTTATTAACATTAAATAACATTACTTCAAACAACCATATTAATTTTTACATTAATTTTACTACAGCTACAACCAGGGTCTTATTTTTTTGTTTTATATGTAGAACCAATCAGTCACTGGTTTTGTAAACATTAACGAAAACAATGCCGGCAGCCGTCTCGTCTCCTCTTGTGTTTTAATATTCCACGAATTATTAATGAATTGTATTGTTCATTTTGCACACAAACATTAATTCAATAAAAAAAATCAGAAACATTAATTAAAACATATATGAACAGTAAATAAGTGTTGCTTTCATATTCTTATGTAGAGTAATGACGATATGTTTTTCACATGTGCGCACTTACATACGTGCACTCACTTTTTTTCTTTAACATAAATGGTTTGCTACTTTTATTGTTCTATTTATTAACATTAGATAACATTACTTAAAACAACCATATAAATTTTTTACATTAATTTTACTACAGCTACAACTAGGGTCTTGTTTTATATGTAGAACCAGTCAGTCACTGGTTTTGTAATCAACGAAAACAATGCTGTCTCATTTCCTCGTGTGTTTTAATATTCTAAGTATTATTAATGAATTGTATTGCTCATTTTGCACACATAAACATTAATTCAATAAAAAAGACATTCAGTAATAAACAATAATGAATCTTTTGTACATCAGAGAAATGACGCTGTTTACACGATTGTGCACGCCTAAATGTTGGCGGACCGCTCAAACCCGTCAAAATTCGAGTTTCCGCCATCAAAATTTTAAATTATGTAGTGTTTTTTTGTGTGTCCATATAAAAAACGTTGAATTAAAAACTCGCAAAATTTGAGAAGCTACTGTACGACATTTAACCCTTCAATATGTCTTCAAAGAGACCAAGAAGCAGTGAAAGTGGTGCTAACGTAAGCGCAAGTCACTATCTGTCCAGGAAAAGAGTGAATTTCCATGGTCCGGCACCGGTCAGGTCCCGAGGTTGCCGGACTAGAGAGGTACAACCTGTAGTATGGTTTATGAATGCTAGGTAAGGAGGTACTGGGACTTAGGAGTTTGTCTCAGCCTTAATTTGACTTCTCATGTTGGCTGTTATTTATATTTGTAATAATATGCCTTATGTATTTATTTAATTTTTGCTTATTTTTCAGTACAGGAATTTTATTTGTAATACTGAAGTAACACCAGACTTGACACTATAGCCACATTCCAGTAACCCTCTCCCTTCCAATCCAGGCCAAGCTGTCACATATGTTACGGTTATTTTTAAACTCATAATTTCAGGTAGATATACATTAGATATACATAATTTTGTTTTTTTACAATGTTCCATGCACACTTAATATTACATACAGAATACTGAAAAAAAAGTAATTATCATAAGGTCAAAAACATAAAAACAAAGTGAATAAATTGTCTTCGTGTGTTAAGAGTTCACGCTGGGCGGGGAGCAGTGAGGGATGTCAGTTGCTCTGAGCTGCTCCCATACAGTATTTTATTAATTTATTTGTAATATTTTTATTTTTTCCTCACATTTATTGGTACTTTAAGTACTATTTTATCCTATTTCTCATAAGAGCTGGTAATTTGAGTAATTAATTTTCAGAGATATTAACATTGTTCATAGCATCAGCTGTTGTGGTGGTGGTCACAGCCAAGACTCGTTGGTGTTTTGCTGCAAATTATGTCTAGGATTATACCCAGTACTTGTATTTCTCAAACACTAGGGTCAAATTATTAGTTGATTTAACAATGAATAAAAGGGAATGGGTTCCAGTCCTTCATTATTCTATAGTGTTGTAGTGTGGGCTGGGCTGGCGGGACCATGTGGTCTCGGCTGCATCGCTCCACGGTAATAAAATTGACTTTCAAGATATTTAAAAAAAAAAAAATTCAAGATTTGTTTTGTTATTTGGACATGTTGTTACTCACGTGTCCTGTACTCGGAGTGTTTACTGTATAGTAAATCTAGAAATTACCTGAGAAAAGTCTCAAGAGTTAAAACATGCATATTATAGAATGCTTAAATTGATGAACGGCAGGTCCCCTTATAACATTGATGCAGACGTCTCTTTTCAGTATTACATCACTGAAAGATTAGTAGCTAAACTGACTGTTTCACTTTGTTGCACAAAATACTACATGTTTTGCTACATTATCTTTTAGATGTTGTCTGTGTAAATTATAATTTACATAATTGTTGAAGAATCCATAATAATAATGAATTGTATCGCCGTGTACGAAAACTCTAAGGAATGTTTTTATTATAAGAATCTATTTCCTCAGAAACAAATGTGAAGAAGATGATCCAGTGGATGTCATAGCACAAGAATTGAAAAAATTGGAGCTTCAAGATCAAAGAGAACAGACTTCAGAAATATTTGAAGATTTTGGATCTAAACGGAACCACATGTTGGATAAAAAACATAAAAAGAATGGACCTATTAGGGAGTCATTTAAACCATTCAGGTATGGTAGGGTAGAGGGAGGTATGAAGATGACAAGACAATACTAGATGTATAATTAGAGTTTAAATTGTGAATCACAGGTATCTTGAATAGATAAATACACCAGTACACACACACACACACTGCATTTATAGTATTACCTGGTTTGCAGATACAGTACAGTATATGCAGTGCGACATAGGACACTTTTGGATTATTTATGAGTAACAGTAGACAACAGGATAAAACGCAATGGAGGATTGTGATATGAAATTCAACATTATTTCCAAAGGAGTGAACAAATGACCTGGTGTGGTGTAGACAAGTACTAGTAGAGTGAACGTACCAAGTATCCACAGGTTTATTGTTTAATGGCAGGATACACAATGTTTATACTATTAACTGGAGGAATAACAGTGTTCCAACCCTAGAAATCCAGCTTTTAATAGATTTATACCTGGTTGACTAAACCAGTGAGGGAAACAGGTCAGTGGTCATCACACTCATAAGTTCAGGTGTGTTGTGAACCCTTGATCTACAATCCAGATTCATCAGTGCAGCCATATAGATTGAGTCCCACTAAGGGGATGGGGGGGGTGGGTGGTCCAGGTCAAGTTCCTCAGTTCATAGTCTTTGGCACTTCACATGTGACCAATAAATGGGAGGAGGAAGTTATGAATTAATTGTAATCTGTATGTACCCAAAATTGGAAGCATACCTTTTAACAGAATCATATTATGGCCTTACCTTATTGGCTTGTTACTGCTACACAATAGTATGACTGAGAAAGTTCTTATTGAGATATCTTGGTACAAAGACTTGCTGAGGACCAGCTTTATTATATTATGATAAACTTGACAGACATATTATAGCTGAAACCTTTCAGTTATTTGATCTACCTGTCATGGGAACCTCCTCAGTCTGTCCAGGTGTTATTTGAGTTACCTGTCATGGAAACCTCCTCAGTCTGTCCAGGTGTTATTTGAGCTACCTGTCATGGGAACGTACCCAGGCTGTCCAGGTGTTATTTGAGTTACCTGTCATGGGGCAGTACTCAGGCTGCCCAGGTGTTATTTGAGTTACCTGTCATGGGAACCTCCTCGGTCTGTCCAGGTGTTATTTGAGTTACCTGTCATGGGAACCTCCTCAGTCTGTCCAGGTGCCAAACAGGGGATTGTTAGAACTGCATGTTGATATGTGGGTTACACCGAGGCATTAAAAAAACGAGTTATGATATATAATGGTAATTAGTTAGGTACAGTATATGCTTGACTTTTTTTTCAGGGAATTTTTAGGAGGTAGAATAACTGATAGTTTACATGTACAGTAATACTTTTCATGACTAAAGACTCCCATAATGCAATATAAAGGCAAAAGTTACATAACAATGTTTGTGATTCATTCATCTGATTCATTCATCGTTGCATAATAGGTTTTGTTGTTAATTTTTTCTTAATGTTGCACAATGTTTAACTGCATGTGCATAGTTTACTTGTGTTTTTATTTCCAGAATACTACAAAACCAATAATCTAGAGTGTGGCTCAGTGTGCCCTGTGTCTCTCCCCTGCAGGCCAGTCTACTATACGCATTTCACAGCAAGAGTCTCTGAAACTTGAACATGATTTCATTGCTAAAGAGAATGTGAGTTTGAGTGAAAAACTCACTATCTATTAAGTGTGTTATACTTTAGCTGTTTCTCTGTCTACCCATTATCTGTGTGAGGTGCATCAGGAGTATTAAAACCTCAAAGATACTAAGAATTGGGGCATAGGTACAACAAGGAGTAGTGCAATAATGGGTTCAGGCAAAATGTAGAAATAGCCACACAATTTTTTTCATATCCTTAATTTGCACAATTACTGTGCTTTTTAATTACCTGTACTGTACTCATAAAGTCTTTTACTCATTCATTAATTTTGGTCTTTTAGCTGGGTGGAGCTACACAGCTGTTGAATGAAATAGGGATTAGACATCAAGTAGCATACTCACTTTTATTTAATCATATCTTCATCTTAAACATTCAGTAATATTTAATCATATTTTCATCTTAAACATTTAGTATCCAAAATGAATCATTGTTCTTCACATTGATTGTCTGTGGTTCATTAAGTTCACTACCTATTAAATTGATACAGGTTGACAATCCCTTATCCTTTTAAGCCTGCCGGGCACAAGTCCTGACCCACATTGGCCGTGGCAAATATAATAAAATTATGATAATAATAATATAGGTCTGCGGTTTCACTTTGATCTTTTTTTTCATTCTGATTTCTTTATTATTATTTTATTATTACAGTATTATTGATTATTATTATATTAATTATTATTTTATTTTGGGTATTTTATTCAATTTCTATTTACCAGAATAGTTATTATAATTATATTATTATCATTTTGAGCCAAGTTATATCTATGCGTGGCTAAGCCTGTTTAAAAAAGTTTTGCCCACAAAAAAAACCTTCGGTTTTTAGAGCTTTTCAGTTTTTGGAATTTCGGATAAAGGGTTGTCAACCTGTATTTCAAAGATAAATATTGGTCACCTCTAAGCCATCCAGGTTCTCACACTTTTATAGTTGGAAGAGTTTTTGGGGTTATATAGGAGTTTATTCTACCCTCAGTAAGATATTCATTAACCCCTTGGGTACAAGAGGTCTCTGATAAATAAATCATCTGGCAGCCAAATAGAATGTTAAAAGTGATGTCCAGTAGTGAACGGGTTAAAAGTGGCGTGAGTATTGTAGTAGACCTGGCATGGGCAACCCGTGGAGTGATTAAGAAATTCTATTTAATGTGGCCAGCATTTCAGGTAGATGCAGCCAGTTTATGGTGAGTAAAGCAATGTTTATTTAAAAAATAATTACACATACAATTCGTTACTGTTTCATCACCCAAGAGTAAGTAACTATGAATATGTAACATTGAAATAAGTGTATACAGGGTCCTTAATTTCGCAGGGGTTAGGTTTTTCAAAAGCAGCGAATCGCCAAATCTGAGAATAACATTAGCGGACCAGGGTAGTGGGTATATTTTACTTGTGTACAAGGAAATGTATATTCCCTTTACTGTATGTGTTTGTTCTTAGGACATTTATTTCTTTTACCTGTATTGTATATATATGTGTGTGTGTGTGTGAGCACACACACACACCTAAAACATACAAATAAATAATACTGTAATGGGAAAATACTCTCACAAATAATCAGAAACTAATTTATTAAAAATGTGACTGTTTACCCTCAAGTCGTGTTTTTGTGTGTATGTGTGTCTACACACACACATATATACAATACAGGTATATATATATATACAGAGAGAGAGAGAGAGAGAGATTAACATTGGGATTATTCTGGTGGGTGTGTTTCATAAGTAATAAAATGCTGTAATTGTAGGAAAAATCAACGTATTCACAGACTGTTTCACTCCTCTTCTGTTAGATGCCAAGATACTTTAACATATTATTTAAAAAAATATTCCAATGGATTTGTTTCATAAATGGGAAAAAGACTGAATGTAAACTGAAAATATAAATAAGTTGGACGTGATGATAAACTGCTTCACTGTCCGTGTTAATACAATATTAACATTACTTTTGGGTGAAGTTGGATATAAATTCTGGTGGGTTAGCCCACAGAAAAATACCAAATCACATTGTTGCCCATGACTGAGGTTGCCCATGCCTGTAGTATGAACAATGGGTTTATAATGTTCAGTTTTATTATGATTTTTCTTTACAAAATAATTAATATTTTTCAGGAAAGAGTGTTTAAAACACAGAAAAATAGAGTAAGATGAAAGCGAGATATGGCTTACCTCATCCATCTACATGAAAATATCGGGACACAAATATTAATAAGCATTTATTAGACTCTGATGAAGATGAGAAAGATTATTACTTTGGCAAATGATTTGGGCAGCTATTTTGATGGTGGAAACGATTATTGGCGTAAGAAGGTTATGAGGCCTCTTTACTGTCAAGATACATATTTGCAATAATGTTTTGAGAACCAGTGTACAGTACTTTTATATTATTTTTATATTAATGATAAAAGTTGTCACCGTTATACTATGGGGTTAGGGACCTCAAGCTTCTATCGCTAAGTGATCGATCTTATTTACGATCTTATATTGATATTAATAACTTATATCCTGTTGCTATATTGATTAAATTATTTTGAAATACCTCAAATAATTAATAAATAGACAAATTCAATAAATTTATACAAAATAAAGACATAAAAAGATAATAATAAAAACAAAAGGTTTACTTTCATTTACCTTACATGAATGTTTGTGTGTGGGGACTTGGCAGGTTAGATGTCACCCTAACACCTCTCCTCCTACCAGGCTATTGTTATTTATCAACTTGTGAATTCAAGTAGATACAGGAAAGCCTCCGATAACGACACTTCTACTAATGACGACTCATATTAAAACCCTGGTTAATTTAGGACCCAATTCAATATACTGTACACCCTTATTTTATTCATACTTGACAAAAAATAAAATAAAATACATTTTCATTTAAATACAGTAAGTCCTCGCATAACGTCGGCCCTCTTAATGTTGTTTCGGTACAACGTCGCTAGACTTTAGATACCAAAAATTCATTTAACGTCCCGGTGACGGTACATCGTCGTTTTGTGTTGTCACGGACTACTTTTTACGAGACATCACCCTCTCATCTGTGGCCTTCTCTTTCATTTCGTACCCTCACTCGCAGAAAGTCACAGCATCCCCAAGCGATGCCAAGCTAGTCTTTGTTACGCCTTCACATTATTCGTGTGGGCTTAAGTGTTTTTGCTCTAAAACTGTACTCTAACCATTCAAAACGGCTTCCAAGCGCCCATCAAGTGCTACTGATGCTAGTGTAGTGAAGAGGCAACGTTAGACCATTACCCTTGCTACGAAAATGGATGTACTGTATTAACCCAATTTGAAAAGGGGCGTGTTGTGGACATAGCCACTGTACTAGGTTTAACCCCCACAACGGTGCGTACTATCCTGACCAACACTGACAAGATTAAGGTTAGTGCTGGAAGTAGTACTGCTCTCAGTGCAACTAAAACGACTCATTCTAGAATGAACGCAATGTGACTGTGAGCCTTATGGTTATCCAGCATAAGGCCAGATCCTTGTTTAACAACATGAAGGAAACCGAGGCTGGTTTCAACGATTTAAGCACAGGTATAACTTCCACAAGATCAAGATGACTAGTGAAGCTGCTAGTTCAGATACGGTTGCTGCCGAGACATTCCCGCCTAAATTCAAGCAGATTATCCAGGTTGGCACGCTGTTTGTCACTCTGAATGGGACCCTACAGAACTGCTACAGTTTACCATTCACCTCAAATGCAGTCACTGGCTTCTCCGTATCCTGTATAGGGATCTGATGGTACGCACTCTTTAGGTCGAGAGTGCTGAATATCTTGTAACGAGATAGGTTAGTCACCAAGTCGTGTATCCGGGGCAAGGGATAAGCATCCAGCTGGGTATACCTGTTGAGGGTTTCACAACAAGCTGTTTGTGCCGCTCAGTAGTGAGGACTTGTGCCCTCCATGGTGAAGTGCTGGGTTCGATTATTCCTTTTGACAGCATCTTATCGACTTCACCTTGGATGAAAGCCCTGCCCGCTTGACCAAATCGTCTTGACTTCGTCACAGCAGGTTTACAGGGGGAGGTCAGATTAGAGAAGAGAGATGGTGGATTGACCAAAGCAGATGTTAGGCTACAGTACAGTGACCTAGTACTGGCGATGATAGGGAAGACGAGGCCATAGACACATGTCCTGACCTTGGATGACATCTCGGAGACTTCTGCTGGATATAGCAGTTTGATACAAACGATTTTGAGCTCCCGGTATCAACGAAGGCTGTAGCTGTATCGTGATTAACAAGCACATATATGGTAGGTCAAGCGAGACAGTCGGGAATTCATATTGCAACCAAAGTAGGAGAGGGTAAGACCGCACAAGTGGGTGAAGTAGCAGGTGAGTAACGAGATGATCTACATACTTTTGCAAAATGGCCTTTCTTGTTGCATTTGTGGCAAGTTGAATCACGTGCAGGACACTGAAGTCGGTTATGCCATGCTCCACCACAGAAATGGCACTTTGGTTGTTGAGTGGCAGCTGTCGATTTTCTCAGGTGAGGTAACAGCGGCTGATTTTATAGGAGGCTGAGACCGAAGATGGGACTCAGAGCTTCTTTGAGCCAGGTCGAGTCTTGCGAGCCTGGTCGACAGCAGTAACCAAATCGAGAGTCTTGTTTTCTAAGAGTTGCTTTCTGATCATAGGAGATAGTAGACCGTTGATAAAAGCGTCGCAGATATACTCATCTCTGTTTGCCTCTACTGTGACAGCTTCGAAGTTGCAGTCCTTACTAGACTGACGAAGTTCCTGTAAATATTCGTCCAAACTCCCCCAAGTGTTGTCTCCTGGTAGCTAGTAGATGACGGGCGAACACTTCGTTCTTCGGCTTTATGTACAAGTCTTGCAGAACCAGGATAGGCCAAATGTGAGACACAGTCGACTATATGATCGTACACAGATGGGGAGATGAAGTTGCAAGAGTGGCTAGCTTGTGGGCTCGAGAAGCACAAATGGAGAAAATGTTGAAGGTCCGAACCAGTGGCGCCACGCCTTTGAGCGTGGGAAAGTTCGTTCCGACCTCAGGAACGTCTCCATTATGACTCGGTTTCAGTTATGAACAATAAATTGTGGTAAGAAGACTAGAGTCGATCTTTTCTAGGCTTTATTGTTTATATAAGTGACCAAGGAACAGTATGGCATCTGGAGAACAAAAGAATATTCTAATAAGTGAAGGGAACAATGAAAATTACTAATATAATATAACCTCAAACAAAACAAACCCAATGAGGCATAATATACTGTATGTACATACACATAACAAAGATGAAGGCAGGTACAAGTGTACAAGTGTAGTATAACTTTATTACACCCACTCTTGTTGCCTTTACCCACTTGTGGTGTACTCCACCCACACCCTGGTGTCTTCCAACCACCCAGGGACTCCTTTACCCACCACACCCTGGAACCTTCCACCGCCCTGAAGCAATCCACCCCCCTGTCGCCCTTCACCCTGGTGCCGTTCATCCCACCCCTATTGCCCCTTACCTGCTCCTGGTGCCCTCCACCCACCCAGGAGCCCTCCACCCAGGCCCTCCACCCTCCCTGGTGCGTCCATCCACCTGTTGCCCCTTACCTACTCGGTGCCCTCCACCCACCCCTAGCACCTTCCACCCACCCCTGGCACCTTTCACCCACCCTTAGTGCCCTCTACCCACCCCTGGTACCCACCACCCACCCCTGGCACCTTTCCCCCACCCACTGCCCTCCCCCCCACCCTTACTGCCCTCCACCCACCCCTGGCACCTTCCACCCACCCCTGGCACCTTTCACCCCACCCTAGTGCCCTCTACCCACCCTTGGTATCCTCCACATACTCCTGTGACCTCCACCCAACCCTCTTATCCTTAACCTCCCATGGTGCCCTCCATCTACCCCTAGTACCCTCCACCCCGCGTGATGCCCTCTACCTTCCCTGGTGCCCTCTACCTTCCCCTGGTGCCCTCTACCCTCCCTGATGCCCTCTACCCTCCCTGGTTTCTCTACCCTCCCTGGTTCCCTCTCCTGCCTGGTGCCCTCCACCGACACCTGGTTCCCTCTACCCACCCCTAGTGCCCTCTACCCTTCCTGGTGCCCTCCACCATTACCTGGTACCCTCAACCACTCCTGGTGCCCTCTCTACCTCCTGGTGCCCTCCACCGACACCTGGTGCCCTCTACCCCTCTTCTGGTGCCCTCTACACCGTCCCTGGTGCCTCTACCCTCCCCTGGTGCCCTCTACCTCCCTGTTTCCTCCTACCCCTCCCCTGGTGCCCTCTACCTCCCCTGGTTCCCTCTACCCTCTGGTGCCCTCTACCTCCCCTGGTTCCCTCTAACCACCCCTGGTGTTCTCTACCTCCCCTGGTGCCTCTCTACCCACCCCTGGTGCCCTCTACCTCCTGGTGCCCTCTACCCACCCCTGGTGCCCTCTACCCTCCCTGCCCTCCACCAACACCTGGTACCCTCAACCCTCCTGGTGCCCTCTACCCTCCCTGGTGCCCTCTACCCTCCCTGGTACCCTCTACCCTCTTCTGGTGCCCTCTACCCTCCTGGTGCCCTCTACCCTCCCTGGTGCCCTCTCACCTCCTGGTTCCTCTACCACCCCTGGTTTCTCTACCCTCCTGGTGCCTCCCACCCACCCCTGGTGCCCTCTACCCCTCCCTGGTGCCCTCTACCCACCCCTGGTGCCCTCTACCCCTCCTGGTGCCCTCCACCACACCTGGTACCCTCAACCCCTCCCTGGTGCCCCCCTACCCCTCCCCTGGTGCCTCTACCCTCCCCTGGTGCCTCCTACCCCTCCACTGGTGCCTCCTACCCTTCCCTGGTGCCCTCTACCCACCCCTCCCTGGTACCCTCTACCCTCTTCTGGTGCCCTCTACCCTCCCCTGGTGCCCTAAACCCTCCTGGTGCCCTCTACCTTCCACTGGTGCCTCACCCCTCCACTGGTGCCCTCAGCCTCCCTGGTGCCTACACTTCACTGGTGCCCTCAACCCCCCACTGGTGCCCTCAACCCTTCCCTGGTGCCTCCCCTCCCCTGGTGCCCTCAACCCCTCCACTGTGCCTCACCCCCTTCCCTGGTGCCCTCCACCCCTCCTGGTGCCTCTACCCCTCCTGGTGCCCTCCCACCCACCACTGGTGCCTCAACCCTCCACTGGTGCCTCACCCTCCACTGGTGCCCTCA